AAGGTTCTCATATTGATTTCATTCCCTGAGCACTAACCCTTAATTTTAATAAACATAATTCATTCAGATTTTATGGCTAGTAAGTAAACTAGCAAGACTGCAAAATTCTTCTTCACCTCTTAAAACACCAAAACTGCTGCATGTTAGGTGTGAACTCTATAATATAATTCTGTAATATCAGAGAAATGATTTTTGATTGGCCTGTCATTTTCTTTATTGATTAATCATCTATTTTTCACTTCAACATTTGTGCTGACTGAAATCACTAACCTGCTGGGTTGCTTCAACCCCTTGACAGAAAAAAAGTAAACCTGGTGAGATAGGTTAATTCATCTGTCAAGATTCTACCCATCATCTTGGTCAGTGTCTGCTGGGATTTGTTCAGCTGCTCCAGGACCCTAAAAAGGATGATTGGATAATGGATGGGTGAATGATTTAATCTATTTTTTGGAACAGCATCAGTATAATTTCTGAAGATAAGGTGGGAGAAAATTACAATTAGAATTAGAGGAGACTAATTCTCCATCCATCCATTAGCTGTAATGCTTATTCTTTGGGGTGATAAAGGAGAATTATTAGAACATTTTAATTGGGAGAGTGGTTATTAAAAAGAGATTGAATATAACATTTAAAACGCTGATTATGTTTGGCCTTTAGGTCTAGAAGGGTCCAAAGGCTTATATTAATTAACAGTTATTTAGATTTAAGTGATATCCTTGAGTTTTGTTAGTCATGGAATTTTGGATCACAGTAATAAATCTGACTTTGTGTTTGTTGTCCCTGTGTATAAGTTTGTACAACATTGGCTTTAACAGGTGTTTACTAACCAGTCTAAAAGAAACGCTTGGCATCCAAAGTCCTTCACTTATCAAGCTGTGTCTTGTAGTGGAGAGCAAATCCAATGTTTTCCATAACTTGGTAGCTTATACCAAAGTTAACATGCTAACTAGCTTGCTCATTGTGTCACTGTCCAATACAAGTCACTGAGTAGTGTTCAGTAGCGCTGCTCACAGGGCGTACTACAAATGTTTGTCTCAGCAGGTGACCATCAACACCACCTGCTCCCAAATATGAGCCACGTTCAGCAGCAGAGGAAAGTTACAGATCACGTATGGAACAAACAACATTTCATACCCACCTTTGGATTATTACTATTAATAGTTTTTGATTGTTTGAGTTTTCCTTTACACGATGTTCATTCTGTACCAACCTCTATCCAAGGGCAAATATAATGGACAACTTGTCGAGTTAGGCTTTGTTAAAAAAAACCTCCCTTTGAGAGGTTGAGTATTCAATGCGTATCATTCAGAAAAAAATGACCTTCGGTTTTCCTTAACAAATGGTACATTAGACTCTTTCAGGAAGAAACAAACAGGTTTGCTGGTAGGTTAAATTGGTATTGCTGATTAAAAATGTACCTAAGCATCTGATTTTA